CCCCCGGGGGGGGGGGGGGGGGGAACCTGATGGGAACTGTCTTTAAAAGCCAGACCAAAAAAAGACAACAGTTCCTCCCTTAGGAGGAAACTGGCAGTGGGCCTGGAGGTACTGCAATACCAGGCCCCCACCAGGAGGACTATTGCTAGCTGTGACACTCTCCCTGTCCTCTTGATAACAAGAATGCTTCATCTTGGCCAAAAGACTGATCAGATTATTACCTGGCAGGGTAGTATGGTACTGGTTCACATAGTGATCCCTTTATTCCTGACCTTTTAAATGACTCTGAGTAGTTGAGGGTGGAGATCTAGCCTTTGCACTGCAGACAGCGCACCCCCCGCCCCCGTGAGACTATATAGCTTCCCAGTGGGAGGATCATGGCCACATGCTATTTTATGGAGATGGGGGATTTCTTCCCTAGCTTGCTCCTTTGGTCTTTTGGCCAAGGGCAAGTAAGACTTGGCGGCATCTGAACCCCAGGACGTCTGAGCTCTGCTCAGTCTATGGAATTTGGCTAATTTGGCTTGACACATGACACTTTTAAACAGCATGTTTGTACATGCACACTTTTTAAAGGCTATTCATGTGCCAAAACTTGCACCAATTTCAAAAAAAGTGAAGTGCCACAGTTTTACCTGAACTAAGTGTATGGGTACCTGTAGGAATTTGCCTGTATACAAACATTGTTCCTCACTTCCATGTATTTTATACTTGGAGCTATCAGTGCAGAACAGGTGACTTTGACTTTACCAACTGTGATTGGCACAATAGTAAGGATACTGGAAAATGTACTTCATTGTGTGTAAAGACATGTAAAGCAGTATCATACAAATTTTAGATCCTGCAATTTTTTTAACTTCAGCTTTGTCTTTTTTTTTTTTCGTTGTGGTTTTGTTTTGTTTGTCTTGATGTTATGATTTCTTTTAGGAATGTAGTAAGAAGCAGAAAAACGATGACAAGCAAAACGCATCTGTTGATACCCTAAGTTCAAATGATGAAGAGGTAATGTTCCTTTTTAAAACATTGTATTAATCCTTTTTTGTCCTGTATTCTGTGCCCTTTTTTCCTTTGGAAAAGAATTCTTATTTTAGAGTAAGATAAGCCATCTATCAATAGATTATATATAGTATTAGTCTAATGGGGGGGGGGTGTATTTCTTATAAACCCAAATACCATTTGTCAGAATTATCCAGAGAAAATAGTCTAGAAGAGACATGGGATAGGGATAGGCCTGTTTCTTGGTGGGGGAGAACCTGGAGAGAGTGCTCAATGCCCAGAACTTTTGGTCTCCTCAGTGGGATATGAGGCTACTCAGTACCTCCTAAAACCTGAACCCATCATTGCTGGTTCCTTAAGGAATTGGAATTGAAAAACAGAACAGACAGCAGTGATGAACTGAAATTAGCTTCTCAGAGTCAAAATTCTGTAAGTCTTCACTTTTTATACTCGTTCCAGGTTTGAGTAAACTTGTACTTGTTCCTAATGGATTTGGGTCAAGGTTTTTAACAGAATGTTCCTTAAATAAATGTTTCATAATTATAAAAATGACTTTCACTTTCTGCTTAACCAGATAATTAAAATAACAGTATTCCTCCGTCTGCTATCTTCCAGCATTCTTTTTATTCTGAGGTTGACTTGATCCTTCAAGGGTCTAAACACCCTTATCTCTGAGTGTATCGAGGAGTTGAAGGTGCTGAGCATCTCAGCCAAGCAGACTGGACCCCCCCACCCCAAAAGAAAACAAAACAAAACCCCAAACTGTCAAATCCTTACTCGCACGCGCAATCTAAATGAAGACTACTGAACTACTTGTTTAAGTAAAACCTTTTTACACTGGTAAAAGCACGTAGGATCATTCGAAGTACACGTGGGTGGCAGACTGGCTCCAGGGGCGCACCCAGAGGGTGGTGGTGGACGGGTCGATGTTGACCTGGGAGGGTATGGGCAGCGGAGTCCCCCAGGGCTCGGTCTTTGGGCCGGTGCTGTTCAACATCTTCATAAGTGACTTGGACGAGGGTGTGGAGAGCACCCTGTTCAAGTTCACTGACACCAAGCTGTGGGGTAAAGTGAATACACCAGCAAGCAGGGACCGCATCCAGGCAGACCTAGATAGGTTAGAGAAGTGGGAGGATCTGAACAGGATGGGGTTCAACAAGGGCAAGTGCAGGGTGCTGCACCTGGGGAGAGGGAACCAGCATTATGGTTATAGGTTAGGGGCTGACCCTCTCTGCAGCACAGAGGCAGAGAGGGATCTTGGAGTCAGGATCGACTCCAGGATGAATATGAGTCGCCAATGCGATGAAGCAACAGGCAGAGCCAACCGCACCCTGTCCTGCATCAACAGGGGCATCACTAACGGGCCCAGAGAGGTCTTGCTTCCCCTCTATGCAGCGCTGGTCAGGCCGCAGCTGGAGTACTGTGTCCAGTTCTGGGTGCTATGCTTCAAGAAAGACATGGGGAAGCTGGAGAGGGTCCAGAGGAGGCCACTTGTATGGTGGGGGCTGCTGTGGCCAGCCCTATGAGGAGAGGCTGATGGACCTGAATCTCTTCAGTCTCCGCAAGAGGAGACTGAGGGGGAGTCTTGTGGCTGCCTACAACCTTATCCGGGACCAGCAGCAGGGACTTGGGGAAAATCTGTCCACCAGGCCCCCCCCTTGGAGTCACTAGGAACAATGGCCCCAAGCTGAGGGAGGATAGGTTTAGGTTAGATATTGGGAAGAACTTCATGGTAAGGGTGGCTGGAGCCTGGAATAGGCTTCCCAGAGAGGTGGTGCTCTTGCCTTCCCTGGAAATCTTCAAGAGGAGATAAGACCACAGCCAGGTGCCTATGACCCCTGCCAGCCCCAGTGCTCCTTCCTGCCTGTGGCAGAGGGTTGGACTTGATGATCTGTCTAGGTCCCTTCCCACTCATTGATTCTATAATACATCAGACTCTTTCTATGCAAGAAGACTGGGCTTCATTATCAGTGCAGAGATTCACCTAAAAATTCTCGAATTATAATAAAAGAAGTGATGTTGCCATAGATCTCATACTTAAAGTTTTTAATAAATAACATTGTTTCCCTGGAATGGGTCTTGTTGACTTGAAGAACTTTTTAAAAGCAGTCTGGCAGTATCTCTGGAGTGAGCAGTTTTGTGTTTATAGACCAAATAACAGAACCACTTTTGCAGCTTAAATGTATTGGTGCAAAGATCCTCAAAGTTATTCACCAAGCTTTCTTTTATTTTCAGAAAAATGAGTTCCATAAGTTGGCTAATGCTAAAATATTCCTTAGTGACTGCCTAGCTTGTGACAATTGTATGACATCTGAAGAAGGAGTTAGGGTTTTCCAACAGAATCAGAAAGAGCTCTTCCGCATACTCAACCTTAACAAGGTAAGTGACAAAAACCATGCAGTGTTTTATGAGAGGGGGAGGATTTGATAGAATGACTAAGCAATTCCTTTCCCCAAGGCAAGTAATGTTCAGTATAATCTAACAAATCAGGGTTCCCTGTGAAGAGGAAGTGACTACTAAAGTTGACCTGAGTAGTATAGCACTTAAAGCATTTTGGCGTGGAGACAAGGTCATACCCGTGAAACTACATCTTAGGAGAGATAATGTAGCTACACATCTAAAAAGATACTTGAAAAAGCATTGTTACTCCATGACTGTAATTGTTGTTAAATATACCCTTCTGAAGCTCTTAAACAATTTTTTTTCCTTCAGTTTTATAGCATGACTATCTTAAAGGTGCAAAATCAATTATCAGAACCTGAGGTTTGTTTTCTTTTTAAATTAGAACTGATTTGAGTGTGGGAAAGCCCTGAATAGTTTCAAACCTAACTGAAATGTCTTTGTTGGCGGGGGGGTGTAGGGGAGAAGCTCGGGTTCCCTTTCCTTGTCCCTCCCCCTCTAAAAGAAAAGCATAGTCATAAGTTCTGCCTCTGTACTGTATAAAAGCTGACCTTTTTTTTTCTGCCAGGTTCTCTGGCAGCCTTTTATAATAAGATCAGCAGATTTTGAGTACTGTCTTCAGTACTGATTTTAAGTACCATTCCAGACTGTTGTACTATCACCCAATAAGCTCCAGCTATTTTTTCACCTGTTGAAGGTATCTAAGCATTTTAAATGTGAATAGTCTTTTTAAGAAAATTGTTCCTAGATGCCTTCTTAGAACTGCTGATTCTCTACAGATAGTATGTTATGATTGTGCATAATGTAGAATCATTGTTACTTTCTATCCCTAATTTCTACCTAGTCACCTGCATTCTTCTACTGCAGGATTTTTTTCCATGGTATCTCCTCCTGCTTATGCCTGTTTAACTTTCAGTGGTACCAGTGAGGAAACCATGATGGGCATTATGTCCCCATGGGGACAGTGTGTGTGTTCATTACTCATCAGTCTTTCTTCAGAGTCACTTGATTGTGCTTAGAGTTGTGGGGTGGGTTGAGTTGCATTAGTTGGGTTTCTTGAAGGGTTTCCAGTTCTGCTTAAACATTTTCAATAGGAGTTTAAGCCAGTGCCCTTGAATATTTTGTAGGATCAAATCCTTAGACTGTAGACTCAGATCTCCACACTTGACAAATGTTAAGTGTTTAAGACTAACATTTGCAGAAGTGTCTAGTTAACAGCTAGAGCATATACAACTGTTTGCAAAACTGACAGTATCAGGCTTTCTCTTGGTATGTCATTTCTGTAAGTGTGGTCCTTGGGGCAAGGGTAGCATTGTCTTAGCAAGGATAGGTCAACAGCAGCAACTTCTGCTGACTTACTGCTCAGCATTGAGAAAATCAGAAAGAAGAGCCATTTAATTTTGCAAAAAGAAACATAGCTGCTTAACAAGGGTTTTTCATTTGTTTAAAGATGGGGAAATTTTGAGGAGAGGATGATGAGGAACCTTTTTAAACTGTTATCACCCATTTGTTGGATTTTTGGGGACACTTCTTGTTTTGTTTTCCAGAAATGTGATGTCTCAAAACACAAAGTTTTGGCAGTGTCTATATGCCCTCAATCATTGCCTTATTTTGCTGCTAAATTCAATATCTCTGTAAATGATGCAGCCAAGAGACTTTGTGGCTTTCTCAAAAGTCTCGGTAAGTCCAAATTAATTATTATGGTGGGAAAATGCAATGGGGTTACTCTAGATTAGGGGTGTCCATACATAAGGTCTGCAGGCTGGATTCAGCCCACAGTGTCCACCGTCTAGGCCCTGGTGCTGCCACTGGGTCTGATCCAGACCCATATGGCATGCACCTGTGTTGGGACCAGATCTGGCTTACCAGCCCCCTCCCCTAAAGGGGGAAATAACTAACTTATTCAGTGCTCCAGCCAGTCTGGGTACTGCACTATGTGCCTGCAGAGCTAGATGAGTTTGCTTCTTTGGTTCCTTCAAAGAATTCTGCTGTAATGCGTAGCCGTGCAGTTACGCAGTTCTTCTAGAATTAAATGTAAATTATGTGTTCTCTAATCGTTGTTACAACAGCTATTGTAGAAATTCACTAAAGTTGGTAGAGAGCTGGTGTGAGCAGCAAACTTAAAGATGCTACTGATGTATCTTTCTATGTCATATTGTTTCTAATTCACATTTTTTGTTTCTTTTAATTGTCTTTATTATGCATGCACATGTTTATCCTGTGCTCAAGGTTTGGACTGTTGATATGAATTCTGAGCAAACTTGGAAAGGGTAATAAAACAGACTGTAATTCCCCCATCTTATTTTATTGTAGTGCAAATTGGTCCTGCTTTTGGACTAAGGTAGCTTTTCCATCAGGAAAAGGCTCATTCTTCTTTTCCTGAATGTACAAAATCAGACTTCCACCCCTTCTGCTCCCCACATCTTGAAAGTTTAAATTTCAGAACTGGAAGCTCCTAAGACTACTTTTGGATAAAGAAGGCTCAAATGAACAACTATAGGCAACTCAAAAGAAGACTATAGAACAGAAAGTATTATTGTACTCCACTATACAGATAACTGATGAACAGTCTGCAAGCAGTGCTAAAATGGTTCTGCTCAAGAAAAATTAACCTAGAAAAATAGCAGAAATGCTGTGGAGAGAGGATTTATCTCTTCCCTGTTAGAGGTGGATTAGAGCCCTCGCTTTTTTTTTTTTTGTAGAGAACTAATATACTGAATGGTCTCTTCTGAAGCAGGGAATTGCAAATGCAGAAATCCTGGGTTTTTTTTGGCTTTTTGTAAGCAGAATTACATTTTTGTCTTTATATGAAAGAGGACTTGTAACTGGGCTTAAGCCCACCTATAGGACTTTCAGAGGTGTTTTATTATCGCTATGGAACAAATTTTAAAAAATGCATGTAGTACACAGAAAAATGTCCTGGAAGCAGTGTGGCACCATTTGGTAAAACAGTTATAAATTACATAAGTTTGGAGAGGGAAGTTGTTGCTAACAGTTTTTTCTTATCTTAAAGTGGTATTTCTAGGTCTTACTCTAGAAATATGGCATCAAATAAAGGGAGAATTATTGTCCCATCTTGGTACTGTAACCTGGGAACCTTTCATCGAGTAGATGCAGAAAGAAGCCCTAGCTATGAGTAACTGACCTGAAGGAAACTGGGAAGTTTACTAATTGAAAAGACATTCAGAATAATAATGCTAGGAATTGCTTCCTAGCTGTGAGGTGTAGTACCACACTGAAGCCAGTGGACTAAAGTGAAGGCAAGATTTTCACACTAACACTTGCTTGAGGAATTTTATCCCTTGTACTGTGACACAACCTTTTTTGAGTGGTGTGTTTTTTTTTTTAGGACCCCCTGTGTGGGGGCCCCCCCCCCAAAGATTCTTAAAGTCCTGTTTCCTTGCCTTAGTTCTTGCTAGTTGAAATAACCTTCTCCAAGGATAGCTTTCTTAGTATTAAAACTCTGCTTTGTCTTGTATATCATCATAAGAGTTTAAAATTTCCTCTGTACATTATAGTATACTAAAGCTATCTCTGCCTATAGCTCTTAAATATTTGCAGGGAAGGAAAAATAGCTTTTTACCACAATACTTTTTCACATAACCATTATGTGCAACTGATTTCTCCTTTAATGAAGGAGGCTTTTCTGTTTAAAGGGACACTTAAAATATTGATTTATCTCCAGTTTTTCCTTTTGAAATAGCTTTACATTATTTGTGAAAGTCTTTTTTGTTAGGCTCAGTGACAGCCAATAGTACACAAGTGTATAGGAGCACAAGGTAGGCCAGAAGATTTCATAGACATTAGGGCTGGAAGGGCCCTCGAAGATCATCAAGTCCAGCCCCCTGCACCAGGGGCAGGAAGTTGGCTAGGGTCATAGTATCCCAGCTAGATAGGCATCCAAGCATTTTTTGAATGAGTCCAGAGTAGGTGCCTGTACCACTTCTGGAGGAAGCCTGTTCCAGGTCTTGGGGGTGGTGGAGGCCCAGACAGTAAAGAAACTTTTCTTCTTCTTCTTCTTCTTCTTCTTATATCAAGCCTAAAACAGTCTTGTAGGAGTTTGACTGTTTTGGTCCTGGCTTTTCCTTGGAGTGCTCTGGTGAACAGATGTTCCCCCCAGATCCTGATGCACACTCCTTATGTACTTATAGGCAGCCACCAGGTCCCCCCTGAGCCTGTGCTTTTCCAGGCTGAAGAGTCCCATGGCTCTTGGCCTGTCTTCATAAGGCCTATTCTCTTGCCCTCCTGATCATAGGCGTAGCTCTCCTCTGGACTCTCTCCAGCTTCTCAACATCCTTCTTGAATTGTGGAGCCCAGAATTGGATGCAGTACTCCAGCTGTGGCCTCACCAATGCTGAGTACAGTGGGAGGATGGCATCCTGAGATTTACTTGAGAAGCATCTATGAATGCAAGTCAGGGGTTTGTCACAGCTGGTAAAGCAAACATTTGCATTGGTGGCTCCATGTTCATCTTGTGGTCAGTCATGACCCCCAAGTCTTTCAGCAGTGGTGCTAGCAAGCGTAGCACTGCTGAGCCTATAAGTGTGCGGCAGGTCCTCCCCACCCCCTCCTGAGTATTGAAGGTCATTATCAGGTTTGTGTCTGCCCACTTACTAAGTTTATCCAAGTCAGCCTAGATCACTAGCCTGTCCTCGGGTGTGGACACTGTGCCCCAAAGTTTAGTGTCATTGGCAAACTTAGCCAGTGCGCTTCTTACACCAATGTCCGCATTGTTGATAAAGATGTTGAAGAGAACCGGTCCAAGGACAGAGCCTTGGGAGATGCCACTGGTCATAGAGCGCTGCCATCAACCTCTATTCTCTGGGTCCGACCTCAGAGCCAATTTCCCAGCCATCAGACTAGTGTAGCCAAGGTTGCAGTTGGCCAATTTTTTCCATGAGGTCATGGGACACCAGATCAAAGGCTTTTTTAAAGTTCAGATATATGATGTTAATCTCTTCTCCCTTGTCAAAGATGCCTTGATGTACATCTGTATCTTGCATGTATAAATATGTAGGCACATGAAGCAGTGGCAGGTGGGCCAACTGCAGGGATATAAATCTATACAGAAAAGTAGGAGTGTACTTTAAAATCCTAGTTTTAAAGGAATACTTTTTTTTTTCTTTAAAAAAAACAACCATCAGGATTACTGGCAGTTTTTGAGTTAACTTTTATATTGTTTGCTTGTTTTTAACTAAGTACATGTCAAAAGGCAAGGAAGTATGTTTTCCTCTAACCCTGAAATGAGTTTAATACTAAACAAATCAGTAGTTTTGTTTTGTTTTGTTTTTTTAAATAGATTTGATACATGCTTAGCCATGTGCTTCCCATTACTATTAAAGTAGGCTGCCAGTGTTACAACTGTATCTAAATCTACTGGGCAAGGAGGTCTTGTACACTTTCACTGACAAACCTGGACTATAGAAAGTCTGTGATGTGATGAATTAATTCTTAGAATATTATTCTCCTTTTTCTTTGTTTTGTTTCAAGGGGTACATTATGTATTTGACACCACTATAGCTGCTGACTTCAGCATCCTGGAGAGCCAGAAGGAATTTGTGCAGCGCTATTGCCAACGGAACCAGGAGGAGCATGCCTTACCAATGTTTGCCTCTGCTTGCCCTGGTGAGAAATCAGTCCCTGAGTGCAGCCCAGAGTAACCTTATGTAGACTGCTGTGAAAGTGGTGCAATTCCAGTTGGGTACCTCTTTATAGCTTGTAAAATGTTAGGCATTGTGTTTGCATGTTTTCAAAACTTTAGAATGATCCTCCTATGTTTGACATGAGTCCCCAGTACCAATAGAGCTGTTCATCTTCCAGCACTATGTTCATAAAGAGTTTTGAATCTGGCCCTGGCTCGTATTTAAGCTGTGATGGTAGAAATGCATCTGAAGGGCAGAGGTCTGGTACTACCAAGCCCCCATCAGCCAAGGAGCCAGCCCAGCCACAGAAGTGGACTGTACAGGCCAGAAGAGGGTGCGACCATATTGGATAAAGCATTTGCTGATTCAGCATACTCCCTGTGAAGGCAGATATGGGGATTGTAAACTGCTGGTTACTTCATTTTATAGATAAGAAAACTGAAGTATGGAGGAGCTTTAAATGACTTGTCCAAGACCTCTGGAAAGGGGTGCAAGAGCCATAGTTGGCACTCTAGAGTTCCTGGCTCTCTGGGCCTAGAATACAATGTTCCCCCTACTAAATCATGCTTCTCTTGGATGGGTTAGCTGTGTCTTCTGTTTCTTTGAATTAATTTTTCCTTATTGAAAGGGACCATGAAGGAGAACCTAGTTCTGTTGAGTACTTCCACTAAAAGTCATGGCTCCCATTACATCTTAGCACTTGTTACATACTCTCTCTTGTAAAAGGAAACCATGAAGTGAAACTCTTCTTGTTGACTGCGTGATACAGAAAAAAGATGCTAGATATCTCCTGAGAACATGTTTTATGCCCACTATTGCCACAAGTAATGCTTGCAGTTATGAGAGGTAAAAGAAGTTAGCAGTGGATAATGTCGTCCCCCCCCCCCCCAATTTTTACTTTCTGCCCTTGACAATACTTTGTAGAGTCATAATTAGTTTCCCTGCATAGTCAGCCACTCTTAATTGTACATATCAACAGAGCAGAAATAGCATCTTCATCAAAAATAGTATTTTGAGAAGCTATTTGAGGTGCTTGGGTGTCTGATTTTAAAAAAAAATTACATGGATTGTGTTGCTTAAGAGTACTTCTGCTTCACCCTTCAGCTCTTTCAGAACAGCTACCCTCTGGAAAGGGAAATAGCTACCCTCCATACTCTGCCATTGTCACTAATGTAAAATACTTAAACAGATCATTTTTCATAGATTGATACCTTAATTTATACTTCTCCTCTGTCATGTAAAGGAAAGTATCTTTTATCACATGGCTTCTTCTGCCTGCCCTCCAGTAGACATACTGAGAGTGCATCTCAGAGTTGCACCTATCCAGAGGAGAATGTCCATTCACTTTTTTTTCTGTTATGAAGAAAGTTGCAGTTGCCTTCTACATTCATAAGCCAACATCCTGTATGGGGTGTTTGCCTACAGCTTGCAAAGGTTAAACTAAAACAAAACCTTAAACGCTCAGGTCCATCTTGTTTCGCAGAGTTTAAAAGGAATGATTTGGAATCTGATCCACCTGCCATTGGCTTCCTCAGAAGCAGGATCTGGTGCTCTAATTGTACAGTAGACTCACAGGAAAATCTTGGGGGGGGTGGGGTTTTTTGTTGCGGTTTTTTTTTTTTTTTCCCCTCCTAGTGAAACATGAATGAGACTTTTTTACATTAAAACTGATCCATGGGAAACTTCTTTTTTCCCAATCTACAAATAACAGGTATAAACAATGCACCCACCTTGCAGGGATGTTATGAAACAGCTAATTGATTGGGGAACTTCATGGTTTTGTCTATGCCACAAAATTTGGTACCTGTTCGTGAGGTAACACCTGCTTTTGATTCTTGGGACTCCGTGGTACTAGCATTTTCTGCAGCTCTACTAGAAAACTGGTGCCAAAGTACTGTGGTGGATGTATCCACCACAGAAGTGCTAAGTCTTATTGCTATTCACAGTGGAAAGAAGGGAGACCTCAGAATCAGCTGCCCCCTGAATACGTAGAGCATGCATTTTGCTACTTTATTTTTTTTTCTTCCTATGAACCTTTGGCATAAACTGACCCAGAAATTGTTTTTCTGGGTGTATTCACACAACTACTATAGCTCGGTTTGCAGTGAACTTGTATTTACAGAGCTATTTAAAAAAAACAAAAACAAAACAAAAACAGCTTCTCTTTTTTTTTCTTTTGGAGCATAAGTTCAGTCTGTGGAAAAGTATGCCCTTAAGAACACTGATACTAAGCTGATTATAGCAACCTGTGACTTTGCACTAATGATCTACTTTGCTCAAAAGCATGCAGTATTCAGTACCAGACCCCATGGATGCTAAATGTTGTAACTTTTTTTTCTTTTTTTTTCTTCCTTTGCTAACTTCTTGGAGCTAGGGATCTCTCTTCCATCCCCCACCCTGTTTTTTTTTTTTTTTTTTTTTTTTTTTTATGGTCCTGTCCCCTCCCCCTGTTCAGGGCACGAAGATGCAGTTATCGGGTGTGCACACAAAGATTAAATTGCTTTCAGACATTACTAATTTTGTTTCTTAAATGGCCAGTTTGATCCCTGAATGGCATGAAACACTTGGCTAGTCTGAAACAGCTCTCACACTTGGCTGATCCTTACTGAAGGAGACTAGAATGGGCAATGCAGTAGGCAAAATGCTCAGGCCCATTCAGACAGTAGTGACCTAGCCAACCTTATCCATCCTTGTTGCTACCCCAGTGAATGTGGAGCTACAATAGCAATAAATGTATGTTGGGATTTTCTCTGTAGTTGGAAGCAGTGTAGGCACCCATTGTGCACATTTTGGACTACTTTATATACAACAGATAATATTGAAAATAATATGCATTCTGTGAACTGTCTGGAAGCACCAATACACTAATTCTTGGTTGGTTTGTTTTTTAAATCTGACTGCACTTCAGGAGGGACGTGGAGGAGCTGGAGAGGGTCCAGAGGAGGGCCACTCGCATGGTTGAGGGCCTCTGTGGCCAGCCCTATGAGGAGAGGCTGAGGGACCTGAATCTCTTCAGTCTCCGCAAGAGGAGACTGAGGGGGGGATCTTGTGGCTGCCTACAGCCTTACCAGGGGCCACCAGCAGGGACTTGGGGAAAGTCTGTTCACCAGGGCCCCCCTTGGAGTCACCAGGAACAATGGCCACAAGCTGAGGTTTAGGTTAGATATTAGGAAGAACTACTTCATGGTAAGGGTGGCCAGAGCCTGAAATAGGCTTCCCAGAGAGGTGGTGCTCTCACCTTCCCTGGAAATCTTCAAGAGGAGACTGGATAGGCACCTGGCTGTGGTCTTATGACCCCTCCCACCCCCAGTGCTCCTTCCTGCCCGTGGTGGGGGGTCGGACTTGATCTGTCTAGGTCCCTTCTGACTCCATTGATTCTATGACTGAATTGTGCTTTGAAGCTAATAGAAACCAGAATATGACCTAGAATTGGCATAAAGAAATGAGTGCACATCTGTCTTCATGTATAGGCAGCCCAGTAAGAATTGGTCAGCATCTTGGATTTCCTGTAACTGGCTCTGGAACTTGGCCCTATTGATAAGTATGCAGAAACTGTTTCTGCATCTGGGAAATACAGATAAAGCCTTGTGTGGCTCATTCATGAAGGCTACTTGTATAACTAAACAGTGACTAAAGCTCACAGCGAAGCTGGAACTAATGGCCTTGCATTTCTCTCTTTGCAATGGTAGAACAGCACATGAAACAACTGGGGCCTCTCTTGCTGGCACCAGCCTCTTGGAATTTAATGAAATACTACTGGGGATTGTGTGACTATAATAGTCGCCATATTTAGATTCTGAAAACCAGCTTTCTAGGCACAGCATTGCAATGAGCAATGAAAATCATACCTCATCTTTAAGGATAGGCGCTTCTGAGAACTCCTTTGAAGTATCAACAGACAGAAAGATTTCTTACCTAAAATGAAAGTTTTTTTCCTTTTTAATGTGCCATCTGTATGGCACTCTTATATTACTTACTGAACTACTTCACTGTAGTGCTAGTAATCTATTGTCTATTCCAAGTGTCAAAAAAGACATTTTCCATACTTTCTTGATATGACTTTACTTAAGGCAAAAAAGAAAACCTAATGTACTGGTTGAAATGAGGTATAATGTTAGGAAAACACAGCACAAGCTGCCACTTTATGCATTTGGCAGTAAGTGTCCATGTGCTGTGCAAATAAATAATTTGGTCCTCGGCTTTTCAGGGGGCAGAGATGAATTTACTCAAGTGCATGCAAGTTAATGGAGCAGACACCTGCCCACTAAGATCTCAGATGAGCCCTGTTAATGTTACTATCTTTCTTTGCTCTAACCAGAATTGGAAACAAGGAGGGTGATGGCTAATTCTCCTCTAATGTACGCACCCCTTCAAGTCTTCCACCTATAAAAGGCCCCCATGCATTACATTCCCTTCCTTGGCATACACATAGGGCAAACAGTCCAAGTACCATCATGATTACAATTCTTATCTCCCATTGTTTGCCCAAGCATCTCTTCATTTGATGTTCCTGCATCAATAGTCTTAATTTACAGTAGTGTTTCCTTGTTGTCCCCAAATTTTAAACTTGCCCACTTTTAAAAGCTGAACACTTTGCAGTTGTATGTACTCTGTAGCAATTTTTATCTCTTGTGCACTCTGTTCTGTTTAGAAATGAAGGGCTTGTCTGTCATGAAATGTGTTGCCTGTGGTGCTAAGATAATGACCCTGGGCCTAGTAATTCTGCAGTGTTTTAATGGTCCAATTTTGTGCACTGTCATAGAAGATGAGAATCCAGGGTTCAATACATATTCCTGTGTGGGTTTTTTGTTTGTTGTTTTTTTGAAAATGTTGCCTCATGTCTCCATCTCAATTCCTCTGCAAAATAGAGAGGAGTACTTACTGCCTTGAGCCCTGAAGGTGTAGTGTCATGAGAATAAATACAGTAAACACTGAGGGTCTCATACTGTGATAATAGAGGCCTCTAAGTCAATGCATCAAGAGGGTGTATGTGTTGTTAGTTTTCTCTTTCTTTAGAGAGGCAGAGTAAGTGCATTTGAGGTTTGTTCATACATACCAGCAGCAAGAGCCTGACTCTTGCCAAGCTTGCTGTCTGAAATGTAGTTAGATGGTGTTCCATTTGACTTGCTTCTGAAGAAGGGAAAGTGCGTTTGAACACTGAAATGTAAAAAAATGGTTATAGCTGGACATCCAGCTTATAGATCATTGCTTACTAATGCTGCCCACATCTGACTGTCTGATGCCTAGCATGTTGGTTTACATTAATTATTAACTGAATCCCCAGCAGAGGTTCTCTTTGTGCATTAGAAGGGATTTAATAAGTAATTCATTTCACAGTAGTTCTATATGTAGATTAAATAATGGGGGTGGGGATTCATCAAAGCCATTTTAGGCAGCAGTCTGTGTCAATACTATAAGAAAACTGACTAGGAGCTACCACCCCTATCCTGCTGGGATTCTTCTTCCTATTCTAAGTCCTCCCTTTTTATTGCTATCTTTTTTTCCTCCCC